TATATATTAGGGATGCACGGCTACCAGCCAAATATTCGGCCACAGCCAGGTATTGGACTACCCAGTAATACTCAGCTCCAGCCAAGTGTCAAAATTAAAAACAGCCAAATCCGGGTAATTGAAAATGGCATCTAATCTTTGTGCCAACTTACACGGCACTGAAAGTTACAGTCAATAATTGGTTTAGTTAGAAAAAACGTGTTCTAAGCAACAAAGACCGACCGGCCGCTGAAAGTCGGGAATTCAGAGAACAATAGGGATTAATAACAGGCATCACTTGAGAAGTTGGGGCTAGGTATTGAAAGTTAAAAGTGAAACTTGAATGTTTTGTTCGTGATTAATCGGATAAATGTAATAAACATAAATTTTGTTTTTGTATTCGGCCAAATTTTACTACCCATGCATCCCTAATATTTGTTGTTGTTGTTTTTTTTTCATTTTACAAATATTTTCAACTCACTATTAAACCAACTTTTCATGACATCACAACCACAGGCTTCAGCTGACAACAAAAAATTTAAAACAGTGGACATCATAAAAAAAACGAAAGTGGTAAATTAAACAACTGCACAAGTTTGAAGTAAACCATACATTTTTTCATTTGTTTTTCAGTGCTTGTTTCTAGGTAATCCCTTAGGCAAATGCTGAAAAAGAGTTTTTAGAAATAGGACCATTAGACCTTATTTCAAATTTTGTTTCCTGTATCAATGTGCACACTTAAAACTGTAATATAACTTAGTACTTCTATACCTGAAAAGCTGAAAACCACATCAACCAGTCCAGTCTGTAGTGATAAGGGGTTATCAAACATGGACGCCTAGTGATATTTCCTGGTTTACATTTGAACTCATATTCTTCCCATGATGCATCAGGATCATTGGGATCTTCACTGTATGTTCCTTGAAAGATAACCTCTGTTCTCTTCTTTGTTACACTATAAAGATACGAGATTTAGCAGACTCGGCTACAGAGAGATACAGATCAGCTCTCAAAGAATAGGTTTTATAGTTTGGAATGCAATATGTTTGAAATGGATGAACATCATAAAAAACATACTAACCAGAGAGGATCATAAAGTACATTCTCTACATAAAGACTTCAAACATCAACCGTTTCTTAATTTTGTAAACCCCTTTCCCATATACTCCAGAGAAATATCTTACTTCATTTTGGTCGTTACAAGACAAACCTGTTTTCAGCATATAACAAATTTCCTAATAAGTATTACACAAAAATAAACAACTCACTATACCATCCGTGTGCTGTTGTGTGTGAAGATTTATGTAACATTTGGATTGAATTTGCACAACAAATGAAAATTCCATAGAACATTATTTAATAATCTAGAAAAAAAAGTTTTATTGGCATATTATTAAACTGGAAGCAACACTTCCATATGTATTATTAAGCCATATTTCTGGACATTCTCTTACTACTTTATCCCCCCCACTTTGTACTGGCCTTTTACCTAAATTTCCAATTTTGAAACACACTCATGTTTTAATGCTCTTAGCCAACAAACCTTCAAACTGATAGATTTTTGCATAAAATTTTCTGCTGCACAAGAAATGGGTTCTATATTGCTTTGTATTGCTTACAGTAGTGCAGTATGCATGTTTATATATATATACACACACACACACACACACACATCTCATATGATGACTAAGAGCTTTGAGCTTAAATTTTAAAAAGTTTAATAGACATGAACAAAAGCAAGAAAGTTAAAAACTGATTTTTTTAAACCTCAAGAATCCTTTTTCCTAGTAGAACCAGTTTCTTTTAAATATACATCCCAGTAACTACAACGAGAACTACAGTTACACTATTTATATAAAAAGAATATAAGTTCATTCCAGAGAAATTTCCTAAATTTCTACATATAGGACTGGTCAATTTTATTTTTAAGATTAAAATGCATAAAAAAAATTTACAATCACTTTTTCCTTTGCTTCCTGTCAACATTCATAGAAACTTGCTAAAAACCTCTAAAATAAAACTTGTATGAGTGAACATCTTTTTTTATTAACTTAGAGCTATTTCTAGTCAACAATTCTCAGAAAAGCTACTCTCAATGGTCATCAACAACGTTTCTGAAAGCACAAGCTCATTACTGGAATCAGATTGGCAGCTTTGCCAAATGCTGTCTGTTTTCATCCTCTTTTGTATTTACTCATGATTGAAACAGGTCTTTTACTGGTTATGGCTGGAATGAGTCCAAATTTGAAGCAACCTGTTTAATACTAAGTGCATGCTTACTATGATTTTACATCTAATATTATTCTGTTATCATCATAAGTCTTCCTAACTGAACTATATATATATATATATATATATGTGTGTGTGTGTGTGTGTGTGTGTGTGTGTGTGT